AGTCTCTTTTTTCTTTAGGAAGCATACAAAAGTATACTGGCTTTGGAATCAAATGAATGGGTCTGAATTCATTTCCGTGTGATGCGATGAGCTTGAGCAAGTTACTTCACATATCCCCCAATAGGTAAGGGAATCTGAAGTATTCTAAACTGCATATTCCTAAAATATCAGAAATAGACAAAGATTCAGAGAAAATATCTTTTTTATTACTGTGCTGGGATGGGTCTGAGGTAAGGAATGTTGCAGCTTGCCAGATCTTGTTAATTATGAAATGATAACCATTGCTGTGTGAGGAGCCTGCCATCTCAGGAGCCTCAACGTAGTGGTATGAGATCAGCTTAAAGCTGCAGTACCTTTACCCAACGCTGATGGAACCGAGCAGCATACGAGGCAGGTCTCCACCAGAGAATTCTTGTAAGGAGAAAACTGGGCAAATGCCAGAGCTAAACTTGCCAATGAGTTCCCTGAGAGCATAACGGGAGATTGAGCACCAGTGAGACAGAAAGGCACTCTATACTGACTAGAAAATAACTGTAACATACCCAGACATTTTCCTTTATTTCTGTTAAATGTAACCCTCTGCCTCAACCTGCACTGCCTTCTTCCCCTTCTCCCTGGTGAGTCAGTACCATTCTAGCCCTAGTTTGGTTGCTGGCTTTACTGGGCCCTTCTACTCCATGGTTACGTTTTTTCAGAGAGCACTGGCACATGATTGTTAATTTATGGGTCATCAAAATGACTTTCAACTTACCGAGAAGTAAGTATAAACACTGGGATATGTGTTCCCATTCCCTGATTTCTATGGGAAAGTGTTAGAAAGTGTGAAAATCGAAATAAGTGCAGCTTATGTTTGTATCTTGTTATGGTCTTAATTATATTATGCATGATATTAGATCTGTGGCTACTATCTCGTTTGAAGTGCATTCTTACAAACTTTTTGTCGAAGTGTTTGCATTTTAAGGTCATTAAATAGTGTCACATTGCCATGACTGCCTTATTAACTCTTATTATGACTCAAAATGTAGCTAGAACAGTAAATTCATGTTATAGAACAAGCCCAGTTTTAAAGTTCAATGTGGTATATTGCATCAGACTTAGTTCTGAGTAATGACTGAACAGTGGCAAGTACGTTTTATGTTAACTGTTGAACAACTTGACAAATTAAGAATGAAGATTTATTTTAAGATTTGTTTATTTTTTATTAGAAAGTCAGATTTACAGAGAGAAGAAACAGAAAGAAAGATCTGTTTGCTGGTTCATTCCCCATGTGGCTGCAGTGGTCAGAGCTGAGCTGATCCAAAGCCAGGAGCCAGGAGCTTCTTCTGGGTTTCCAGCATGGGGGCAGGGTCCCAAGGCTTTGGGCCATCCTGTACTGCTTTCCCAGGCCACAAGCAGGGAACTGGATGGGAAGTGGAACAGCCAGGATACAAACCAATGCCCACATGGGATCTTGGTGCATGCAAGGCAAGGACTTTAGCCACTAGGCTACTGTGCTGGGCCCGCCAGTCTATATTTTTCCATTCACTTTATATGTAAATGTGCAGCTTATTTGCTATAAAACCTACAAAACTAAATGAATAAAAAAATTGCAGCAAAGTTGGAATGGAAACAACCTCTGAGACAGAGTTAAACTATGTTTATAGACACTGTTACTGGTGAAAATATTCTTGAAAAATCCAGGCATGGTTTCCTCATGGCATGCATTTTCCATAAACTTATAACTACCCTCATATAGCACTGGAGCATAATTTTATGTCCCATGTATTAAATAGGTTTACATTCATGGAAGAAAATATCATTATTATAAATACTAATATGGATAAATTATAAGGAAACATAATATTTTACCAGATTAGAATTATTTAATAAGCTGTATCCTAACAATCGAACTTGGTATGGCTTAGTGAAGGTTAGAAAAGATTGGAAGTTAAGGGCCCGGCGCGGTGGCGCAAGTGGTTAAGGTCCTTGCCTTGCACGCCCGGGGTTCCCATATGGGCGCCGGTTCTATCCCGGCAGCCCCGCTTCCCTTCCAGCTCCCTGCCTGTGGCCTGGGAAAGCAGTCGAGGACGGCCCAAAGCTTTGGGACCCTGCACCCACGTGGGAGACCCGAAAGAGGCTCCTGGCTTCGGATCGGCATAGCATCTGCCGTTGTGCTCACTTGGGGAGTGAATCATCGGACGGAAGATCTTCCTCTCTGTCTCTCCTCTCTGTATATCCACCTTTCCAATAAAAAAAATAATAATAAAAATAAATCTTTTAAAAAAAAGATTGGAAGTTAAAGTCATTGCTTTCTCTAAATTAAGGTTGATATTAATTCAAAAAGTTACTCATCATGTACTCATCACATAGAAGATGCTGTACTCCTACTCTGTGGAGAATACAAACATCAATTATAAAGAGTCTCTGCCCTGAGGGACTTAATGAATTTTCTGGTAAGGTGATGAGGCATGCATACACTTGGAGTTTGAAAGAACTTGAGCTAGGGTCCATCTGGGAGATCAGAGGCAACTTCATAGTGAAGGAAGGTGTGTGGAGTCTGAAAGAATGAGAGATTCCTGCAAATACAGACACAGTTAAGATGACTGCCAGGAGGCGGAGAGACCAACACTGACAGAGTTAATACAGGTCAAAGCTCAGGTGGAGTTCGGAGCCTTTGCCTAGTGCAAACAGCAAAGCTGTGTACACAGGTTAATAGAGTTGAAAACAAGGTAAATCAGGGGCTGGTGCTGCAGCCATAGGTTTAAGGTGCTGCCGGGGCTGCAGCATCCCACGATGGGTGCAGAGTTTAATGCAGGCTGCTCCACTTCCTATTCTGCTCTTTGCTTAAGTGCAGATGCCTCAGATGCTCCGGGCCCTGCACCCATGTGGGAGAGTGGGATGAAGTTCCTGGCTCTTGGTTTTGGCCTGGCCCAGCTCTGGCAGTCATTTGGGGTGTGAACTGGCTAATTTAAAAATTCTCTCTCTCTCTCTCTAATATACTGCCTTTAAATAAATAAATATAATATACTGCCTATACATAGATAAACAAGCCTTTAACAATAAGGCAAATTAAAGCTAAGTTTTTTTTTTTTAAAAGATCTGTTTTATTTTTATTGGAAAGTTGGATATACAGAGAGGAGGAGAGACAGAGAGGAAGATCTTCCGTCTACTGGTTCACTCCCCAGGTGACGGCAATGGTCAGTGTTGCGCCAATCTGAAGCCGGGAACTTCCTCCAGGTCTCCCACGCGGGTGCAGGGTCTCAAGGCTTTGGGTCATCCTTGACAGCTTTCCTAGGCCATAAGCAGGGAGCTGGATGGGAAGTGAAGCAGCCAAGACAGGAACCTCTGGCCATATGCAGTTCTGGAGAGGGCAAGGCAAGGATTTAGCCACTAGGCTACCATGCTGGGCCCAGCAATTAGTATTTACTATGTGCAGGTGCTGTTAGGTGTGCGTGACTGCAAGATCTTTTCTAATATATAAACACCAGAAAAAAAATCAATGTAACTGTGGCAAAGAGACACTTTGACTACTAATAACACAGAACATAGGACTTAATGTCTTGGGGAGAATTGATATTTTCGTTATATTGTTTTCAATTCAATTGTTTCTCAACATAGAATTAATGCTTTGGACTGGAAAACTGTAAATCTACATGTTTAATACGATAGTCTTGGAGACAAAGTCACGACACTTATGGCTCCATTTTATAAGGCTTGGTTAATGCAAACATTTTGTATTAGCATACATGAAATTGAAAGAGAAATAAATTTTAGTTTGCTTTGGACAAAACAGATTCTTCTTTCCTGAAAGAGAAGCACTTCAAGTTTCCTTCCACTAGTTGGGCTCCCTGTGCAGTTAAAGTGATAAGAGCATTTTTAGAACAGCCTGCCCTGAGATACACCTGTACGTTGTCCGTCAAAACAATCTTTGTTTTACTATCAAGCTAGGACTTGCAAATCTGAGACAAGCCTCCTGCAGCGGTGGCAAGGGGTGGGGCGGGGGGAGGTGGCAGCCAGCAAGGCACTTTCCCTTTCTCCTGCTCTCTCATCAAAACTTTGCAGCCGCCAGCTTACGTTGACCTTCCCGCTCATTTTTTTTCTCCACTTCTGACTAGGCTCTCACCGCACGCCCCGCACTCGGGGCGCTCACTCTTCCACGCTTGAGTTCCGAGAGCTAACTAACTCCCAATCCACACCTCTCTTCCCGCCCGCTCCGCCTCCACCTGCGCCGCGCGCCCACCCAGGGGCGCAGCCCGGCCGCCCCGGCCCGCACGCCCCGTCGCGGGTCTGGACTCGGGGCATGCGCGCTGCGGCGCCATCGCCCTCCCCCACGCCTTCCCGCTGCAGAGTTATGCCAAGTATGTGAGGAGACGGCGAGGGCCAATGCTGGTCATGGGGAGCTGCGGCGGCGGCTGCCGTCTCCGCGGGCGCAGCTTTCACAGCAGGGCTCCGACTTCTCCCCGCCGGGCTGCGGGGCTCAGCAGCTGAGGCGGAGGGGGATGGCGGACCCTCTGAGGAGGACTCTGTCCAGACTCCGAGGAAAACGGGGTCCCCGCGGTGCCGGAGGGTTCGGGCTCCGAGCGGCCGCCGAGGGGGACGCCTGGGGTGCCCCAGACTCACTGCCAGGCGCGCACCCAGGGGGAGCGGGGCCTGGCCTGGACCAGCTCCGGCCGCCGCCTGAGGCGCGGGTCCCCGAGGGGCTCCGGGAGCGGCTGGGGGCGCTCGGGCCTCGGCCGCACGCCGGGCAGGAGGCCGCCCCCCGGGGCCGCGAGCTCCTTCGCGCCTCTCTGCACGCCCGGCCGGGTTCCGAGGGCAGCGGAGAGGAGGCGGAGGACGAGGACGACGACCACGCCGACTACTACGAGAACCTGCCCGGCGGCTCCCGGCCCGCGCCCGAGCCTGAGGGGGCGGAGGCGGAGCGACGGCCCCCGCCTCCCCTGGCGGCGGGCTCCTCCCCGGGGGCGGAGGGCGGCCGCCGGGAGACCGGCAGGCTGCAGACCCAGTTGCGAGAGGCCTATTATCTGCTGATCCGGGCCATGCACGACCTGCCCCCGGACTCGGGCACGCGGCGGGACTTGGCGGGTTGCGGCTGCCCCGCGGGAGCCCGGGCTCCGGGCCAGCCACCTCACCCCCGCGGCAGTACCGGCGGCGGAACTTGCGCTCCAGCCTGGGAGCTGGGAGAAGGCGACTGCCCTGGGCAGCAGGTGTCCCCGCCCGGATCGCCTCGGAGGGAACCGGGGGGAGACCAGCTGCAGACTCGTCGGATGCGGCTGCCCTGCAGCAGGAGCCTCGAGAGCCTCCGGGTGGGTGCGAGGCCGCCTCCCCTTCAGCGGTGGCCGAGCGACAGCTGGATCAGGTGCGGCTCCCGCCGGGACCCGGGCGAGCCCTCGCCACGTGGAGGCAGGATGGACGGCTGGAGCCCGGGCAGCGCAGGGGCCGCCGCGGCGCCCCCGGGACTCTCGCCGCCCTGCTCCCAGAACTCCGGCCGCCCTTCGGGTAGCCCTTTGAGCGAGCCCGCGGGGTCCTCAGTGATGCGCGGCGGCCAAGGAGACCTCCCGGAGGGACCCCCTTGCCTCAAGCCGCCCGCGGTGACAGTGAAGAAACTGCAGAAGTGGATGTACAAAGGACGCCTGCTGTCCCTGGGGATGAAGGGTCGCGCCCGTGCTGGGACACCTTCCAAAGTCGCGGGAGCGCAGGCGGCCGCTGCGAACCGGGGCGCTTTGAAAGTGTGCGACAACCACGTCCTTTCGGTGTCTCCAGACCAAAGAATAACGCTGACAGGTAGGATGATTTGCAGCCGCAACGCGAACGCCGCCCGCCTTGGTGTGTTTACCAACTGGCCTTGGGTCTCAGGAGCCAAGCCCGGGCTCGGTGACCGTGCCAAAGTCAGTGTCATGCAAGTGACGGCTTACAGCGCTTTCGAGGTTGCTTAGGATAATGCATACACTGGATTTGCTTTTCTTTTTCTTCTTAAAGGCAATGGCTTGAAGAACTGGGAGTTTTGTTTCTAACTCCCAGTGTACCTGCTGTCTGAATACAACAAACAGTAAAGGCTCGCTTCACCACACACTTGAGCGATGGGCGGTGCTGCTTGAATTTTTTATTCTCTGTAGCTCTAGGCAGATCCGGAGACTTTTGTGGAGTTTGCGAGTTTGAATCTGATCCAAGGGAGACTTTACAGGCTTCGTAAACTGTCATTTTACTTATTACACCTTTTTTTTCCTTCTCCCATGCAGGTTCACACACCTTCCCACCCTAAATCCAGGCAAATCGAGACCCAAAACCCCATAAGTAAAAAATCTTTTTTAGTTGGGTAGATTTTACATTCTCTTCTCTACCTAAGACACCGATGTCAGTAATTTTTATCAGGGAAAACCAAGGATTCCAGTATTTTAAGTCAAAGAAACAATGTCCCTTGTATTTTTTTTTTAAGTGTAGGCACTTAGGCATTTGTGAATTTAAAGACACTCAATTAGAAGTAAAAATTAGTTTTTAAGATGTATACTTTGTCCGCATTATATGAATATGCTCCCCGTTTTGGGGTGTGATTTTTAATTATTACCAAAGGGTAGGTTGTCAGATCTCTCTTGAAACTTCTTTGTGGTAGTAGTTAGCGTAAGATCTTCAAACTGAACCAACAATGTGACTCTTTGAAATACTTTCTTTAAAAACATTGAAGAAGCAAAAAGACTTACTATCAAGAGTAATTTTAAAGAATGCTGTATACTGAAATGGATTCATGATATTCTGTCTTACTGGTAAGAATTTCAAGTTCCACAGGACTGGGTTTAAGTACGTTAGCTTCTTTCACCAATAAACAATGGTGAAGAGAAACAAAAGCTCTAATCAAACAAGACAGATCAAATGATTTTTTAAAGTGCAGGCATAGTTGCAAAGTTTTTTGGATCTGCACATCTGTGATCCTTAGCTGTCAAATTTCATCCTCAAGTGTACAAATTACATTTCCCTTGAACAATAGGATGATAAGATGTAAACTTTTTGTAAAGGGAGGATGGTTTGTACTAGATTCATATTAGCACGCATTTACAGGAGTAAAGTATCTTTCATTTATTATACTTTATTGTCACAGCATCATTACTTCTGATCTTGGTTCAGTTAACTCTATGATAATTGAATTTCAGGCATAATAAAAATGTATTAAAAACTTCAGTCAAATATTTTTTACCTATTGTGAAATGAAACATTTACCATCTGATGGCTTTTGAGGCCCTATATAGTATAAGCAGTCAAAGAGTTAAAAACTAATAATAAATGTAGGTCCTTCAAAATGGTTTTGTTGATTTTTTTTTTTTGGTAAGAAGATGAAGAAAACTGCTCATCTAACACCAGTGAAAATGTAACAGAATTATAGTGATAGTATTTTAGATATTTTATAAGAAGTCAAAGCAAAAGTTACCATAATTTCTTGTAAATGTTCTTTTTGGGAAGGCTGAGGATTTGTGATTTGTGCAATGCTTGCATAACTAACGCAGATTTTAAGTGTTTTGTTTTCCTTGTTTGTTTTCAAGGTTTTTGTGTGTGTGTGTGTGTGAAGCATAATTTGGTCTTATTAAGACCAATCTTGATACTTGGGTGGGAAATATGACAAGTATTATTTAACAACAGCAGAAATAGAGGGGTTATGTAGTTTGCAAAGGTCGCACAGCTGGTACCTGGATTTAAATGATCAGTGTTATGTAAATCCAAATTCAGATCTCTGTGCTTCCAAAACCCCTGTTAAGATAAGGCCAACGACATTCTAAAATTCTTTAGAGGCTTGAGCTAATTAATTTTGATAAAATGAAGAAATGGTTGGAATTTCAACAAGGTTTAGAGAAGTATGCAGTTTCCTCAGAGTTGCAAAGAAGATGAGGAATTTTGGAATTTTGGAATTTAAGTTTTAGGATTTTAAGTAATCACTGCATTATTTTAAACCTTTACCTTTTTTTTTTTAAAGATTTATTTTATTATTTTTTTTTATTGGAAAGGCGGATATACAGAGAGCAGAGACAGAGAGGAAGATCTTCCGTCCGATGATTCACTCCCCAAGTGAGCGCAACGGGCCGATACTATGCCGATCCGAAGCCAGGAGCCTCTTCCGGGTCTCCCGCACGGGTGCAGAGTCCCAAAGCTTTGGGCCGTCCTCCACTGCCTTCCCAGGCCACAAGCAGGGAGCTGGAAGGGAAGCGAGGCTGCCGGGATTAGAACCGGCGCCCATATGGGATCCCGGGGTTGCAAGGCGAGGACTTAACCACTTGCGCCACCGCGCCGGGCCCAAACCTTTACCTTTAAATGCTTACTTTAAGATGATGTTACTTGGATTCTGCTTTTAAATGTTTTCTGAAAAAAATTATACAGATGAAGCAGTGTATTCTTTTTTTTTTTTAAGATTTATTTTATTATTTTTTATTGGAAAGTTGGATATACAGAGAGGAGGAGAGACAGAGAGGAAGATCCTCTGTCAGATAGTTCACTTCCCAAGTGACTGCAGTGGCCAGTGTTGCGCCGATCTGAAGCCAGGAGCCAGGAGCCAGGAGCTTCCTATGGGTCTCCCATGCAGACGCGGGGTCCCAAGGTCCTGGACTGCTTTCCCAGGACACAAGCAGAGAGTTGGATGGGAAGTAGAGCTGCTGGGATTAGATCCGGCACTCATATGGGATCCTGGCGTGTTCAAAGCGAGGACCTTAACCACTAGGCCACCGTGCTGGGCCTAAAGCAGTGCATTATTGATGGTATTAAGATGTGAATAGTCCAAAAAGTTTGTGTCACATTTTTTCCATACAGCTTATTCAGGCAGGTTTTATTTTTTTTTAAAGATTATTTACTTTTATTAGAAAGGCAGTTTTACAGAGAAAAGGAGAGACAGAGAGAAAGATCTTCAGTCTGCTGGTTCACTCCCTAAAGGCTGCAGCAGCTGGAGCTGAGCCTTTCTGAAGTCAAGCCAGGAGCTTCCTTGAGTGCTTTCCCAGGCCATAAGCAGGGAGTTGATGGGAAATGGAGCAGCAGGACACGAAGCAGCACACGCATATGAATCGTGGTATGTGCAAGGTGAGGATTTAGCCACTGAGCCATTGGCCTGGGCCCACACATGTTTTTAAAAATAAAATTGCATTTAGAATTTGTAATATACAATAATTTCTTGAGGACTTAGAGCTAGTTAATTTACCTAGATATTTTGAAAAACACATTGAAGAACATGTGAGAAATGGAGGCCAAAATATTTTTTTATTTTGGTTTCTGACTCCTATTAAGAACTGCTAAAAAGTTTGGTTTTATCATAATGCATTTGATGCATTAACTGTGTAGTGTTCACAGAGTGGCCAATTTGTTCTTAATTGAGATGATTATTTAAGAAATCTAAAGTCATTACATGAAGTAAATAATGACAAGTTTCAGCAAGCTTTAAGATTACAAATCTTGGGGCCCGGTGTGATGGCTAATTGGCTAAATTTTCACCCTGCCTGTGCTGGGATGCCACATGAGTTAATGTCCCAGCTGTTCATCTTCCCATCCAGCTCCCTGCTTGTGGCCTGGGAAAGCAAGCAGTAGAGGAAGGCCCGAAGACTTGGTACCCTGAACCTGCATGGGAAACCCAGAAGAGGCTTCTGGCTCTTGTCTTTAGATCAGCTGAGCTCTGGCTGTTGGTGGCTACTTGGGGAGTGAACCAGAGGACAGAAGATTTTTCTCTCTCTGTCCTCCCTGTACCTGTCTTTCCAATAAACATAAATAAATCTTTAAAAAAATTATAAATATTTCCCAACTATACTTCATTATGTTTTATAAATAACTCTTAATTAGCATATAGTTTTCAGATACAAATTCCAAAGTGTCAAGTTGAGCTTTTTTATCCTTTTATTGCTTTAAAAATAATTTGAGGTAGAGAGGCCCAAGTGACAGAGTTTCAGGCCCCTGACTTTGATCAGGCCGTGGGTATTTGAGTGAAGCAGCAGGTGGAAAATTGTCCTCTCTTCTCCCTCCCTCACTTTTTCCTCTTTCTCTTCCCTCTGCTCCTTGGAGCTCTCTCTCTCTCTCTCTCCCTTTTTTTCTGTCACTCTACTTTATAAATAAATAAATAAAAAATAGAATCTTGGGCCTGGTGCAGTAGCTCACTTGGCAGTCTTCCCCTTGCAAGTGCTGGCATCTCATGTGGGTGCTGCTTTGGTCCTGGCTACTCCATTTCCCATCCAGCTCTTTGCTTGTGGCCTGGGAAAGCAGCAGAGGATGACCCATGGCATTGGGACCCTCCCTGTACCCACATGGGAGACTTGGAAAAGCTCCTGGTTCTTGACTTCAGATAGGCTCATCTCTAGCCATTGCAGCCATTTGGGGAGGGAACCAGTGGATGGAAGATCTTTCTATCTCTCCTTCTCTCTGCAAATCTATCTTTGCAATAAAAATGAATAAAATCCCTTTTTAAAAAGAATCTTAGGCCCATTGTAGTAGCTTAATGATTAAAGTCCTTCCCTTGAACACCCCAGGATCCCATATAGATGCTGTTTCTAACCCTGGCAGCTCTGTTTCCCATCCAACTCTCAGCTTGTGGCCTGGGAAGCATTCCAGGACCTTGGGACGCTGCCCCTGCGTGGGAGACCGGGAAGAGAGTCCTGGCTTTGGGTTGACACAGCTACAGCTTTTGCGGCCACTTGGGAAGTGAACCATTGGATGGAAGATCTTTCTTTCTGTCTCTCCTCTGTATATCTGCCTTTCCAATTAAGAAAATAGATAAATCTTAAAATATAATCTTAAAAATTATTTAAAAATTAGCCTATTTTTTTTCTGTG